CGAACACTTAGCATCTTCCCACTTTAGTTATCTACTTGGCAGTTTTCCTGGGCTCAGCCCCACCCAGCAGCACACCAGCCAATCCTATTGAAAGAGGATAAGCACGACCATCTAGCCCCTGGACGAAGCCACTGAAATGATCTGAAGACTCAATCTCAAAGACCCAGTTGGATTTCAACCCTTTTTGCTGCTGAGATGCTGCAGATGAGAATGCTACGTTACTCACTCCGTTTTCAACAAAACAAAACATCAACACAGTCCAACATCGGGACCCTGAGCTGTGTTTAGGGGATGCTGAAAGCACTGAGGACCCAATCACCTCTGCAAAGATATGGTCCTGGTGTGTCTAAAGAGTGTATGGCCACCTCACAGACAACAGAACTGGACCCTATTCAGTCACATTGAAAATCTGAGGGCAGTGTGCGCTATGAGATCCTGTCTCCAACAAAGAGTAGGACATTAAAACAAGACCATCAAGACCGATTTGAGAATTACCATCAAAAGTGGTAGTTCCCCTGCATGGTGACACACGCCTTTAATCCTAGCACTGGGGAGGCAGAGGCAGTGAGTTGGTAGCCAGCCTGGTCTACACAGCTGTTACAGGACAGCCAGGCCTACACAGTGAGACCCTATCTGGGGGGAAAAAAAAGAGTAGTAGTTTGACTATGAATTAAGTATGAAATATAGAAATACAGCTGACTCTATAAAGGGGGAAGAAAACAGGTTAAAAAATCAAAGATTCTGAGGTAACAACAGAAGATCAGAAAGAGCTCACAGCACTATGTACTACAGAGACAGTAAGAAGGTGATGGTCAGGGCTGGAGAGAAGGGTCAGTGGTTAAGAGGACAAGGGTTCAATTTCTGGCACCCACATGGCAGCTCACAAATGGTAACTCCAGTTCCAGGGTATCTGGCACCCTCACATGGACATATGTACAGGCAAAACACCAATCCACATGAAAATAAATAAATCTTTAGAAGGAGGAGGAGTGGGTGGTGGTGGCCAAGAAATGGTTACAGGATCTGGAGATCAGTTAATCACCTAAGAACGGCAGGTGGTGGTGGGGTTAATGTGTGAAAACCAGGTTATGGGGCTCTAGAAAGGGAATAAAAATGAAAGATGGGTATAATGTATGGACTGTTCAGTTCAGCCTCAGCTGTACAATAAACTCAAGGCCAGCCTAGGCTACATGAGACCCTTTCCCAAAGCAAACAACAGAGACACCGAGATTGGAAAACTTTCCAAAGTATTAGAAATTCAGTCATCCGCAGTCTACAAGACCAGTTGCTCTAAGCCCCGAGTGTGAGGTGACACGGAAGCTAACAGGACCAACTGGTGCACACCTGCAAAATAGGACCAGGAACTTCTGGCCTCAGGTGGGAAGAGTCTTCAGTAAAGAAAGATGGAATTCAGTCATAACCTTGCCGTTTTGTGATAGGTCTTTTGCCTATACAAACGAAACAAAACAGCTGACGATTAGGATATACCTGAGATGGCAAATGTTTTGTGAGGGTGACTGTAGTAAGCTAGAAATGAAACGAAAGGGAAGTCGCTTGCTGGAAAACACCTTCAGACAGTCTAAGGGTGACTAAGATAGGATTCTGACTCCTTCTTCCACCATTGATTTCAACAACTCCAATAGATAAGAGCGGTCATTTCCTGTGCCAATCACCAGCTAAAAATAAACAGTTGTATAAACAGTAAAGGAATCTGCTGTGGCAGCGCGGTACTTCATGGAACTTCACTAAAGATAAGACATATGAGAAAGGGCAGTATTTTTATTGCCACTTCCTTCTAAAAGCCATGCCCAGTAAAACAGAGCTGGAACCACTTTACTGATTGAGCAGACATCCTCACAGATGTTTAAAACAGCATTAGAATGAGGCCAAAGGTCACCCAGGAGATAGAGAAAATGGCTTCGGAGAAATCTTGACAGCCTTTCACGATTAGAAACCCCAGGCAGCAGGAAGAACAAGGAAGAACCCTCCTTAGCCTGAGAATGTTTACAAAAGACCCATGGCAAATGCTGCACTTCATAGCGACAGGATGAACGGTGCTTCTGAAACCAGCAACTAAGACCTGATGCCATTCACCCTGTCTCTCGTCAGCACAATGCTAGAGATCCTGGGCAGCAGAGTGGGGGTGGAGAAAACACGAAAAATAAAAGCACCAGAAATAAATAAACAAAATGTCTAAAATATAAGAGAATTCTTAAGTGTTTAACACACTTAAGTGTTTAACAAGTGTTTGTCTTGGTACAAAATATAAACAAAGTAAATTCTATATAGCAACAATACATTGAAAATTAATATTCCTGGGCTGGAGGGATGGCTTGGAGGTTAAGAGCAATGTCTGCTCTTCCAGAGGTCCTAAGTTCAATTCCCAGCAACCACATGGTAGCTCACAGCCATCTGTAAAGAGATCTGGTGCCTTCTTCAGGCCTGCAGGCAGAATACAGGCAGAACACTGCATACATAATAAATAATAAATCTTTAAAAAAAAGAAAATTAATATTCCAAACACCACGTACATAAAAAATAGATGTCTAGGATAAAATATAACAAAATGTTAATTAATAGATCAAGACTTTTTCTTTCTTTCTTTTTTTTGGGGGGTGCTTTTTAAGACAGTTTTTCTGTGTAGTCCTGGTTGTCCTAGAACTCACTCTATAGTCTAGGTTGGCCTAGAACTCACAAATATCAACTCCCTCTCCCTTTTGAGTGCTAGGATTGAGGCAAGAGTCACCATCACCTGGCTTTAATTGACATAGCTAAAGAAATGGAAAAACAGAGCTAGATGTGGCAGCTCATGTCTATAATCCTAGACTTGAGAGGTGAGGCAGGAGGATTATCATAGGCTTGAAGTCACCTACATAATAGGCTATGGGAAGTTCACAGACAGCCGATCTCAAACACTTTCCCCAAAAGAAGTGAAAAGATACATAATGGATGCAGTTTTATTGTAAAAAATACACATTACCTTCAAATAGAACCCTGGTACAGTCAACAGAGAAGAAAAAGAAGAGAAGCCACTGGAAAATGGCCAGGAAGTGTTTGGCACAGTAATGCTAGCAGGGACGAGTCTAAAAACTCTTGCTGTCATGATCATAACAAACTAATAAAATTATGCTTGTAACAATGCACAGTTTTATCAAAACAAGGGAGGCTGGAGAGATGGCTCAGGAGTTAAGAGCACCGACTTCTCTTCTAGAGGATGCAGGTCTGATTCCCAGCACCTACATGATGGGCCATAACCATCTTGTAACTCCAGTTCCAAGAGATCCAACACCCTTTTCTGACCTCCATGGGCACTGCACACGTGGCATACAAACAAACATGCAGGAAAATACCCATACACGTAAAATAAATAATAAAAAGTGAGGATGTTTTTTAAATTGCAATTCCTTCCCAAAGCCATGGATCACTGGAAGGTCATTGGCTGATTTGTCAGTGAACATCACCGAGGACAGCATGTGCCAGCTGGACGAACAACATTACTGTCCTCCTGTGAGCTGTCTCCTGTTTAACTTGGCACATGAGGACACAGGCCACAGGCCTCATCATAGTTATGCTAACAAAACAAATCTGAGAACACGACTTGGATCTGTGTCAATTCTGTCCAAATAGACTTTCCTAAGAGCATCTTGCATCTGATCTCAAATGATGTTGCAGATGTATTATTTCCTACGTTGCTCCTCAGCAAAGTTTTCGTTTAGTTTTGTTTTTAAAGATTTTTTTACTTTATGTGCTTGAGTGTTTGGCTCTTTGTATATGTACAACATCATGCCTAGCATCTGTAGAAGCCAGAAGCAATCTCCTGACTGGAGTTACAAACAACTGGTTGTGTGCTCCCATGTGGGTACTGGGAACTAAGTCTGGATCTTCTGCCAAGAGCAGTATGAACACTCAATCTCTGAGCCACACAGTCCCCCAAGATATAAAACTGCATTACATCAGAGTTCCCGAGTTCTCTCCACCCCAAAGCTTCACCGTTACTAGCCTATGTCTAGGAAACTCATTTCAGTTTTGTAGGTATAGCTACTTATCCTGGTGTCATAACTGCTATAAACCTGTGAACAAAAGAGCCAGGAAACAGGCCGGGTGCTAATATCTGTGTGCTAAAACTACTAATAGATCTTAGCAAAAACCAGCCACCAACAACACCCAAAATACACTGGGGCTGGAGAGACAGCTCAGCAGTTAAGAGCACCGGCTGCTCTTCAAAGGATCTGAGTTCAATTCCCAGGACCCACATAGCAGCTCACAACCCTCTGTAACTCCAGTCCCGGAGGATCCAATGTCATAGCCTTGTCTCTGGGGGTACCAGATACACATTTATTGCACAAACACACATGAAGACAAATACCCATAAACATTTTCAAACAAACAAACAAAAAAAAAACCACCAACTCTCAAAACTATTTAAAATCTTTTAGAAATAGGGTATGGTGGCACATCACATGCCTTTAATCCAAGCAGAGGCAGGCAGATCTGTTCCAGAACAGCCAGGGCTACACAGAGAAACCCTGTCTCAAAATTAAAAAAAAAAACAAAAAAAAGTAGAAGGATAAAAACATATTTGCTTATCTATCTATCTTGGGGTGGGAGGGCACATCTTGAGGTCAGAGGACAATTTACAGTAGTCAGTTTTCTCCTTTTACCATGTGGATTCTGAGGATGCAGCTCAGGTGATCAAAGGTTGGCAAGCAAGTACTTTCACCCACTGAGCCATCTCACTGTCCCCTCAGAACTATTAAACTTACTAAATAAAACAAGTTCAGGCTTGATGTATGGCTTGGTGGCAGAGTACCTGGTTAGCAAGTGAAAGGCTCTGGATTCAATCTCCAGTACTGCAAAAATTAATTAATTAATTGATTAAAACTAAGACTCTAGAACTAGGTCAGAGCAAAAGAACAAGAGAAGGAACAGGAAGGCACACAGGTGGCTAGACATGTCCTACACTCTGTCTTCCAGGAGCCCTGTTCTAGGAGAGGACATACCTTATCCATATGGAAGATCAAATCCAACTCACATACATTTTCAAAACACTTATCCAGAGTCTCCACAAAAACCTAAGAAAAAAGAAGAAAATGAGAAAACCATTACTCGCCATTTTACAGACGTCACACAAGAAAGTAAAAGGGGCGAGCCTGAAGAGTGCCCCAGTCCCACCGAGACAGAAGCTCAGGCATGAAGATGGCTGGAGACCAGCCTGAGCTACACAGTGAGACCTCAAGGTCATTAAAGAAGTCTGAAACTAGAGATGCCGGCCAATAAACCCAACTATTCAAGCAGGAGGATTGAAAATTAAAGGACTTCTCAGGCCACTTGGGGCAATGCTATCTTAAAATGTTATAAAAGCAAAAAATAAATAAATAAAGTAATAAGGGCAGCTATGACACTCCTTTCCCCTCACAATAGAGCTCAAAGCAGATCAGCAAGCCTAGTCCCCAACATTAACTGACGCCTACTTCTTAGCCAACCTCAGGGCCGATCATCTAGGCAGGAAAGCCTTGTTCTCTGCCTAGCAATCCGACCAGCGGACACACTAAGGCTTTCTCTTCTCTTTTATAAGATGCTCATTTACATTAAAGAATAAAATACCAACTACTTATGATATTATGGTCTTTCCCCAAACCTGAAGTACACATATATTAAAAAACTCCCTTACAGTATTAATTGAAAATTTTGTATTTATGCATTTTTTTCTTGTTTGTTTATTTATTTTTGGTTTTTCGAGACAGGGTTTCTCTGTGTTTCCCTGGCTGTCCTGGAACTCACTCTGTAGTCCAGGCTGACCTCAAATTCAGAGATCCACCTGCCTCTGCTGCCCAAGTGTGCCACCACCGCCTGGCAACTATTCCTTTTGTATCTGTCCACCCCTAAGATCTCATATAAACAGCACAATATAAAAATTTAAAACTTTTAAAAATCTTGTTTATGTGTATGTATGTCTGTTGTATATGTGCCTGAGGAGACCAGAAAGGCATCGGCTCCCTGAAGCTGGAGATCCAGGCAGTTGTAAACTGCCTGAGGCAGGTGCTGAGAATTAAACTTGGGTCATTTGCAAGAACAATATGTTTAACCACTGAGCCATTTCTCCAGCCAGTTTCAACTTTTAAAAGTTCCAGTTTTTTTTTTTAAGATTTCTTTATTTAATATATGCAGTGTTCCATCTGCATGTATGCCTGCAGGCCAGAAGAGTAAGCCAGATCCCATTATAGATGGTTGTGAGCCACCATGTGGTTACTAGGTATTGAACTCAGGACCTCTAGAAGAACAGCCAGTGTTTTTAACCTCTGAGCCATCTCTCCACAATCTTTTTTTTAAATGTATTTATTTTTATTTTATATGCATTGATGTTTTTCCTGAATGCATGTTTGTGTGAGGGTGTCAGATCTTGGAGTTATAGGCAATTGTGAGCTGTTAGGTGGATGCTGGGAATTGAACCCAGGTTCTCTGGAAGAGCAGCCAGGGCTCTTAACCACTGAGCCAACCCCCCAAAGTTCTTCAGTCTTAAAAATCAAACACTTTAAAAGTCTCTTTAAAACATTCAGTTTTCTCCAATGTTCAAAGGTTCTCTAGAACATCCAAAGCCTCTCTGAAATTCCAAAGTCTCTCTAAAACTCCAGTCTCTTAACCGTGGGCTCCTATAAAATAAAAAATAAGTTACATTCTTCTATTTCAAAAACGAAGAACCAGGGTACAGTCAGTCACAGTCAGACTAAAGCAAAACCAAAATTCAACTACAATGAAGTTCAGTGATTGATGTCTGGGACTCACCCATGATCCTCTGGGCTCCAAAGGGCCTGTGCCACTTCTCCAGCTCTGCCCTCTGCAGCATCCACAGCTTGTCTCCTAGGCTCAAGCTAGCTCCCCTTCACAGTTGCTGTGGGGCTCTTTGGTGGCCATCCCACGGTGCTGACATCTCCAAAATGATGCAGTCTTTGCAACTGGGCTGTACCTTCACCAATAACCCTCTCCTGGGCTCTCTTCAGGGACTGTGACCCTGCCATGCAGTGCCAAGTCTCAGCTTCTCAACCCTGGGACTTGACTTCAACTGAAGCTGCACCTCCTCTATGGCCTCTGCTACCCTCCTATGGTGCCAAGGCTCAGATGCTTACCCTAACCTCTTCACGCCTTCAAAACCAGTACCACCTAAATGACTCTTATTCATTTACCACAGTTCCCAGCATGAGATACAGCCTCAGCCCCCTCTGGACCAGAGCTTCTGTATGCTGACTCCGAGGAAACACCTCTCAAAAGACTTCACCTTGGTGATGCTGACCTCTTCTTAACTATTGCTGATATCTCAGTTCCAGCTGACCAGCATCAATCATGCAAAGCAAAGGTTTCACTTCAGTCGTACTGGTCTCTTGTTAATCATGGCTGATTCTTTAGCCCCAGCTGACCAGAACCAAGGATTCTTAATTCAAAATATCATAGAATTGGCCTTACTAATCTCTCCTTCCCTCTGAAACTTCACAAACCAGGTCTCTACCATTTGCATTTCTCTCAGTATTCTTATCGTCCAAGCTCCCACAGAACAAGCCACTGAGCTCTGAGTACTTGATGGCTTTTCCAGCCCAAAGTTCAAATACCAGCACAATCCTCCCAAAAACACATGGTCGAGTCTGTCAAGCAATGCCCCACAACTGGTACCAATTTCTGCCTTAGTTAGCAAAGTGTTATTCCATCCAGAGCTTGACTACCGTCTTCCTTGATGATGCTGATATCAAGATGCAATGAGCAGAAGTGTCTGACATCCTGACCTAGGACTGATAACTGGTACCACTTCCTATTAGAAACCAAATACTGGAAAATGACTGGCCATTAAGTATTAATACTCTAGGACCTAGCGACTGTATTCCTCGGGTGTATATCTTACAGAAATGCAAGCACATGAAATTCCAAAAATGTCACAATGGCACTATGACAATATTTTGTTTAAAAACAGCAGTGACAGACTGGGGAGATGAATCAGTGGTTGTTTTTGTAGAGGTGACATTTGTTGCTCTCGCAGAGAACCCAAGTTCAATTCCCAGCACCCACATGGTGGCTCCCGGCCTTCTATACCACAATTCCAGGAATCTAAAGCCCTCTTCTTACCTCAGGAGGCACTGGTATGCACACGATGCACAGACATACATCCAGGTAAAACACTGATACACATTAAAATTAAATATATAAATCTAAAAAAATTAAAACAAAACAACAAAAAAGAAATAGCAGTTTAGTAATTAAAGCTGGAGTAGTGGTGGTACACACCTTTAAGCCCAGCACTCAGGAGGCAGAAGCAGGAGGATCTATGAATTTGAGACCAGCCTGGTCTACAAAGCAAGTTCTAGGACAGCTAGGGGCTACACAGAGAAACCCTGGAAATACTGGAAATTTTTACCAAATTGAAAAGTTCTTCACGTACATATTCCAAATCAATCATTTCTGGAAAATATGAAAGAATACTCTGAGAAAACAGCGATAACAAGGACAGATTTTTCTTACTATGTATCAGAATCTGTTGTAAAACCTTAAGAATTAAAATATTGCAACACTAAAAAGAACAAAAGCATAGGGCTAGCTAGCAAGATGGCTGCTCATGGTAAAGGTGCTTGCTGACAAGCCTGGACTCAGGGTAGAGGGAGAGAACTGACTCCTACAAGATAGTTCTGACCTGGTGCTGGCTACCTTTTTTTTTTTTAAGTTTGTTTATTTATTATATATGCACATGCCATAAGAAGGCACCAGATCTCATTATAGATGGCTGTGGGCCATCATGGTCGTTGCTGGGAATTGAATTCAAAACCTCTGGAAGGGCAGCCAGTGCTCTTAACCTCTGAGCCATCTCTCCAGCCCCCCAGTGCTGGCTACCTTTATGTCAGTTAGTCACCACATTGGCCTATGGGCAATATGGGCAAGCCTGTTGGGCATTTTCCTGACAAGAAAGCCCAGCTCACTCACTGTAGGTGGAACCACCGATGGGCTAGTGATCTTGGATTATCTAAAAGCAGGTTAAGCTAGTCATGGAAAGCAAGCCAGTAAGCAGCTTCTACATCAGCTCCTGTCTCCAGATTCCTGCCCAGCTTGAGTTTTTTCCCTGACTTCCCTCAGTAATGGACTGTGGTGCGGAACTGTTAGTTGAAATAAACCATTTCCTCATAAGCTGCTTTTCGTCCTGGTGTTTATCACAAGCCAGAGAAACCCTAACAAGATGGCCCTGTAAACCTGCACCAGGGCACTCACGCTCTTGTGTATACCTCTCTCTCTCTCCCACAAACACATTGAATTAAAATGTACACATAATTTTTTAAGCTGGCAGGGACTGAGCTGTTGTCAGCTGTAGCTACTCAGTGGCTAGGTGTTGGCACACAGCACACTTAGTGCTTTACTTTCTTCCCCTGAGTTTCCCTTTCCTGGCTCTTGAAGACCTCCTGATAGAACTGGACTTGCTTTCGTATCTGATCCACTGATTCCATCTTTGAGGTTGCTGTTGTCTTTGCGTGATCTCCCAACAATTACACCAAATATGACTTTATGTTTTTCTTTTATGATTTTGCAATTTTTGTTTGTTGCTGTTGTTGTTTTGTTTCTACAGAGTCTCACTAAGTAGTATTGGCTGGCTGGAACTCACTGTATTGTATTACCAGATGGGGTCTTGAACTTGGCAGTGATTCTCCTGCCTGTTTCCCTGAGTGCTGGGATTAGGGAATGCACTGCCACAGCAGGTCCAATTCTGCACTTTTATAGGAATCAATATCAGGTACATCATAAAAAGTTAATTTACAAACACTAACCTAAATCACCATATAATATTTTCTTTAACTATGTATTTTCTAGCTGATTTTGTAGAAACAGGAAATCCAATGCTTTCTTGACCTCACTCTCAGGAAGCATGATTTTCATGTGGAGGCGTCAGGTGTTGGTCCTCACTTTCCACCTTGTTTGAGATGGAGTCTCCAGTTGTTCACCCTTTTTATGCTAGAGTAGCTGGGGCATGATTGTCTTGCATCTTATCCCCAGCCCATCCCACCCCACCTCCAATCCTGGTAGTTGCTGAGATTTCCAGCATGGTAGTCCTGTTGTTTTCATCCTTCACATTCCAATAAAAGTGCTCATACGGCTTCATTCTTTTGTTTGTTTGTTTTTCAAGACAGTTTTTTTTTTGAGGGTTTCTCTGTAGTTTTGGAGCCTGTCCTGGAACTAGCTCTTGTAGACCAGGCTGACCTTGAACTCACAGAGATCCTCCTGCCTCTGCCTCCCGAGTGCTGGGATTAAAGGCGTGCGCCACCCCTGCCCAGTACATTCTTAGTCTATTTAAAAAACTCTTTCATTTTTAAGACTAAGAGCCCTCAAAAAAAAAAAAAAAAAAAAAAAGACTAAGAGCCCACAAAAGGCATCCTGCAACAATTCGGTCTCAGCCTCCTGAGTAGCTGGGACCACAGCACCACCACGCTCAGCTTTCAGCTTCTTTCATTCTGTTTTGTTCTCATATGTGCCTTTAGACTTCTTAAGATAATTCTGGCTCTCGGTTTTGCAACTAAAATTGGCTATGAAATTAATTGGGGGAGAAGACACTATGTGTGAACCATGCTTTTGCTCTAAGCTACCATCATAAGTAAAAGTTAAATGTGTAGACACTTAGGACTGGGGAGATGATTCAGTAGGTAAGTTCTTGCGGCACAAACAGAAGGACCTCAGTTTGATCTCCCAGAACCCAAACGAAAAGTCCAGGGCAGCAAATCCTAGCACTTCAGAGGGAAAAATAAGATGACGCCTGGGGCTTGCTGGCAAGACTGTCTTAGCGGAATCTTTCTTTGGCTCTAACTCAAAAATAAGGTGGGAAACCACTGAGGAAGGTACCAGATGTCAATCTCTGGCCTCCACAAGCAGCTACACAAACACAAGTGCACGCGTCTTGTATAAATACTTCAATGTAGTTTGGTTTCAGAGGTGAAAGGAAATTCAAAACATTAAAAACCAAGGGCAGTGCAAGGGCTGGAAGGTTGCTCACACGCGGTCCCAGAGCACCACCTGGTGGACATTGGGCAACTCTGACCAACGTTGGTGAGGTGAAAGACTCTAAATGCTTTTGTAAGCCTCCTCAACCCTAAGACATTTTTCTAAAACCTTAAACGGGACAGTCCTCCCTCCCCCCCCCCCCCCCACACACACATGCTAGACTGCTCCTCCTCCTGTGTCCTTGTGAATAATCTTTAAACATAACTCCATTCTGGGAATTGAGGCAAATACAACCCAGAGATGTTGACTCAGTTCCTGATGTGTTGATTTAGTCATTAAAACAAGGTCAGGAAGGCCCACAGATGCTCTCCCTTATCTCCCTCATCACGCAGCTATTCTCCTGCCCTGGAATAGACCAATCACTGCTAGTAACCCTTTGAATAAGCCAACCTACAGGTCCCCTCCCCCCCTTGTGTCTGTGGCTTTTTACTTTAAAAGATGGACTATAACAGCTATTGGAGGTCCTTCATATCCCGAATCCGAAGGACCCTGTCATGACAGAATAAAAATCCTCTTGCTTTTGCATCAATTGTGGCTGTGTGAGTGGTGTCTGGAGCAACTCCTCCCTGATGTTTGGACTTCTAGTCCAATAGAGGAGACTGAAAAAAGGATTCAAACCAAGGCAGATTACACAAAACCCCCGTGGAACTCTGAAAGTTGCTTCCATTATCTGATGGCTGCACATACCTGGATAAGGTCCAAGATCCCAAGTTCACTCTCCGAGGAATCCACACAAAATACGAAGTAGAGGGTGGCATAGTGCCGGTAAATCAGTTTGTAGTCAGCACCACCAATCAGACTGCGGGAGACAGGAGTGAACAGTCGAGAACTCAGATCTTAAGTAAGCATATCCGAGAACCCCGCGCCAAAGAAGGGAAATGGGCCTAACAAAGAGGAAGGCTGGCCACTCAGAACGGCCTGTCTCACACAGACAACAACTAAGTTTGGGAGAGGAACTTAAAGCCACTTGACTTCACCCTATAGCTTTCTTTTTACCTACCCTGCCAATGACCCGAACATCAGAGTGATGGCTTGGGGCTGGAGAGATGGCTCAGGGGTTAAGAGCACCAACTGGTGTTCCATAGCACCAGGTCCAATCCCCAGCACCCACACGGCAGCTGACAACTAACTGTTTGTAACTCCTGTTGCAGAGGTTCTGACATCCACAATGACAAAACACCAGTGGACATAAAATAAAAATAAATTTATTAAAAAAAATCAGAGTAAAGCAAGCGTCTCCCAAAGAGAGCCAGGCTGTCTCCCTGAGCAGCTCATGCTAAGAATGGGTTATATGGGTCTGGTGTAGTGGTGTGCACCTTTAATCCGAGCATGTGGGAGGTAGAGGTAGCAGACCTCCGAGTTCAGGGCTAGCCAGGGCTACATAGAGAAAGCCAGTCTTAATAACACCCCCTCCCACACACAGGTTATGCTGCATCAGCTAGCCACTGATCCCTGAGGGTACCAGAAGAAACAAAAATAACGAAGGCCCCCAAAACATGGCTCTGGGGACTAGGGGCTGGTGACCTGAAGCTGATGGCTTACCTTCCACCTTCTAAGAAGTTACAGATGTTGTCATCCCGCTTGAGAACCAGATGGAAAGTCTCTCGAACAATCTGCTGCTGAATTTCTTCTGGCTGTGGAACAACAACAAAAAGCCGGGTTGGGGGCAAGTGAGAACAGAGTGTCCGTCGATAAGGACGGCTATGTAGAAAGGGGGATTTACACTGAGGACAACTGGAAAAGATCATGTATAGACACAGGGAGAACCGAGAATGACTACGGGAAAGACAGGGCTCCAGAGAGTAAGGTGGCTTATTTACCTAAGTATCTCAGTCACCAATATTGCCATTTTATAGACAAGGAATCAGAATTCATAGCCTCACAAAGATCCTCAAGTTTTGTTTGGGTAGTTGGTTGGTTTTTTTTTTGAGACAGGGTTTCTTTGTGAAGCCTTGTCCTGAAACTAGTTCCATAGAACTGGCCTTAAACAGAGATCCACCCACCTCTGCCTCCTGGGAGCTGGGATTAAAGGTAAGTACCATCACTGCCCAGCTTTTTTTTTTCCCCTGAAAAAAATATCTATACTGTGTAATTAACAAATCTCAAAGTTCCAGCACTGTGTGAAGGTCAAGATGTAATCATGTACATTGCCTCAAAGATAAATTTGTCAGTGTTTTTAAACTGTAATACCAGTGCTACATATAAGATGCTGTTTTGCTCACCAGCAATTGGGAGAAACAGAAAATGCTATATTTGCAGATCTGAATTTTGGGCAACTAAACAAAACTACAAATAAACTTTTTCCACTTAATAGTCACTCGCAATCTTGAGAAACCTCAACTGTGAATGTAACACTTGATAAATCACATTTGATTTCCACTTACATGTATGAGTTTTATAAAAAGTCATGCGTGATGGCTCACTTCTGCAAGTCCAGCATGCTGGAGGCTAAGGCAGGACTGTCACTGAATTGAAGGATAGCCTGGTTTATATTGTGAATTCCAGGCCAGCTTGAACTGTACTAGCTCAACAAAACAAAACAGAGGGAAGAGTGGGGAGGGGTAGAGAGGAGCAGAGAAACAAAGCCCACTGCAGTAGAGCAAGTCTGTAATCCCAGCATTTGGTAAGTGAAGGCAGGAGGAACATGAGACCCTGTATAAAGGTGGGGGGTGGGGTAGGAATGCTTTAATATCAGAAAGAAGCAGGAGGATCTGTGAGTTCAAGGCCAGCCTGATCTACATAGTAAGATCCAGGTCAGCCAGGGATACACAGTAAGACCCTGTCTCAAAACAAACAAAAAGGATTAGGGGAAAACCAGACAGAAACTAAGTAGTTAAAAACTCTAGAAGAGAGACCAGCAGTGGTGGCACATGCTTTGGAGGCAGAGGCAGGCAGATCTCTGTGAGTTCTAGACCATCCTGGTCTACAGAGTGAGTTCCAAGATAGCCAAGGCTACACAAAGAACCCCCGTCTTGAAAAACCAAACCAACCAACCAACCAACCAAGCAAACAAACAAAAAACCTACAACAACAACAAAACTCGAGATCAGGAGCTGGAGAATTGGTTTAGTCTTTAAAAGCATTTGCTACTCTTACAGAGAGAGGACCCAGGTTCAATTCCCAGTCGCCACAGGTGGCTACAACCATTAGTTAATCCAGTCCCAAGGGATCCAACGCCCTCTTCTGAACTCCAATGGCACCAAGTACGTATGTGGTAGACACACATAACTTCAGGCAAAACAGTCACACACATAAAATAAATAAGTCTAAAAAGAAAATTTAACCCTCTAGATAGTCTTCTCACATCGTAATGTGGGATCAATCAGTTAGGGATGATGTTTAAATGCAGGTTCCTCTTTAATATGCCTGGGCTAGAGCCCGAGACTACTCTTAAGTTCTAACAAGCTCCTACAGGACACCAGTGCTTCGGGTCTGGGGACCACACTCTGAGGGGCACAGCGTAAGTAAACATTCAACTTGAATCTTCCTTAAATCAGGAAAACACATTTTAAAAAATTAATCCCTAAACCAGGGAGTGGTGGTGCACACCTTTAATCCCAGCACTTGGGAGGCAGAGGCAGGCGGATATCATGGTCTAAAATAGCCAGATCCAAAAACTACAGAGAAACCCTGTCTTGAAAAACAAAAAAAAAGCAAACAAAAAAACTAGTCCTTTTCATTGTACACCACCGCACTTAGCTTTGAGAGGGCCAGTTATTTAAAAGCTATGAAGTATTGGGGGGGGGGGGACACAAAAACCAGGAACTAGTCACTGAGGAAATGGCTGGCTCAATGTGGGCTCTAAAGGCTCTCAGCGCCTAGTGAACACATGGATGCAAACCTGTTAACCACTGGCCCACAAACTGGAACAAATCAATCACTATCTTTCTGGTTTCCATGTGAACACACCAAGCTCACATTTGCCAGGATGTTGTCAAAGATTAACTCTGCGTGCTCAGAAGCACAAAGCACGTTAAGCATCAGCACTTTTTTAAGCTGACAGAAACATCTTTTCAACTGAAGTCCTTTATCCAACTATAGGTGAAAGTGGCAAAAATGAGGTGGTATGGAACAATGAGGCCAACTAATTCCTAGCTCAACAGAAAGGCAAACTTTGAGCTGCTTCCATGCCCCAGTTATTTTAACAATCCTTCCTATCTATTAGTACGCTGCAATTTTCAAGGGACTCTCACTCAAGAGGTTCTTAAACAAGTCTATGATCTTCAAAGACATACAAATAGCTAATAAGCATAAGAAAAGATAGGTGATCAGCATCCTTAGTTACTATGGAAACAGACATCAAACCCTTTTAAAAAGAGATTCATTTTCATCCACTAAAATGCCTTTAATTAAAGGCAACATGGCTAGGATTTATAGCCCAGTGGAGGAAAAATGCCTAGAATGAGAGAGGCCCTAAATTCACTCCCTAGTTCAGAAAACAAACCAAACAAAGAAGATACACATTGAAAGACATATGAAGAAAATAGAATACTGATACATTGTTGATAACAGTGTGAAAGGGTACAACCACTTGGAAAACACTTTAGAAGGTTCTTAAAATGTTTACCATTGGAGCTGGAGAGATGGCTCAGGGGTTAATCGACTACTCTTGCAGAGGACCCAGGTTCAATTCCCAGCACCCACATGGCACCTCACAACTGTCTGTAACTTCAGTTCTAGGAGACCCAACACCCTTACGCAGACATACATGCAGGAAAACACCAATGTACATAAGAATAAAAAATAAACTACTTAAAAAAAGTTTATCACTGAGTTATTAATGATTCTACTACTAATGCAAGAGAAATGAAAAGCTATGCCTACTAAAACTAAAACTCAACACATGAATGGTCACAGTAGCATTATTTATAAACGCTAGATACAGCAATAATGGGAAACATGGATCGAGCAGCAAAGCACAATGGCATGCCTGAAACTTCGGGATGTGGAAGGCTGGGCTAGAGAATCTTTTCTACTCTTTTGGCGGTTGGTTGTTTGGATTTTGTTTTTTGCTGCTTATAATGTCTTCATTATGTACCCGAAGTTGGCCCTGAACTCACAATACTCCTACCTCAGTTTCCCAAGTACAGTGAACATAGATCTGTGCCACCAAGCCTAGGGGGACCTCCAGTCCCAAGCCAACCAGAGCTACATAATGAAATCCTGCTTCAAAATAAGAACACATATATATGAATGCTACAATACAGATGAAACTTGAGTATGTCTTCATAAGTAAAAGACTAAAAAGCCCATACATTATTACAATTCTACTTAGATAAAACGTTCAAAAACTTAAAAGGAGGGGCTGGAGAGATGGCTCAGCGGTTAAGAGCATTGCCTGCTCTTCCAAAGGTCCTGAGTTCAATTCCCAGCAACCACATGGTGGCTCACAACCATCTGTAATGAGATCTGGCGCCCTCTTCTGGCCTGCAGGCACACATGGAAGCAGAATATTGTATACATAATAAATAAATATTTAAAAAAAAAAAACTTAAAAGGAAAGCAAGTGCTTGCTTACAGACAGTGAAGTAGACTGCTAAAAGGGAGGAGTTTCTTTAAGGGTAGAGATAAAAAGGTTCTCAAACTGTGATATGATAAGTAGCTGTATAGTCATTTACATATCTCTTTTCTTTTTAGTCATTTATATCTCAATAACTTAGGAGAAACAAATGTATACACAAGTTGAAGTTATATTAAGCGTATTTTTTTTAAATGCTGCTTGAAACGCCTACTTAAAAAAGCAAATTAACCGGGCAATGGTGGTGCACGCCTTTAATCCCAGCACTTGGGAGGCAGAGGCAGGCGGATCTCTGTGAGTTCAAGACCAACCTGATCTATAGAGTGAGTTCCAGGACTGGTTCCATAGCTACTGAGAAACCCTGTCTTGAAAAACCAAAAGTAAAAATAAAAAAGCAAATTATTTTTCATTTATGACGAAAAAGGAATAAAAATCCTAGAGACATTTCTCCCTTGTCAACTCACACAAGAGTAGGAAAGGTGGGGCTGAAGCCTGAATGTTTTCTAATTCCATTCCCCTTGGGTTTAACCAGTCTCTCGGTTTTGTATTTTGAAACCTAGCCACGAATAAAATGTTGGGGGATGAGAGACAAATAACGACGTTTGCGTTTTCCCAAAGGAAATGATTCTAGAAAATGAATATTGCTGAGCCATCCCGTGACAGCATTTGTTTAGTTATTTGCTTTCTTGAGATACGGTCTGGTGCAGCTTAAGCTGGCTTTGAACAACTGTCTATCCGAGGATAACTTTGAAGTCCTCATCCTTAGGACTCCATCTCCTGAGTTCTGAGCTTACTGGTGCACACCGCTACACCTGACAGCTTGTAATATACCTCATTTTATTCCTCCCCCTTTTTGAGACAGGTTTTGAGACAGTCTTGGCTGTCCTGGAACTCGCTTTGTAGACCAGGCTGGCCTCAAACTCCCTGAGATCCGCCTGCCTCTGCCTCTCAAAGTGCTGGGATTAAAAAAGGTGTGCGCCACTAACCCCCACCCCGGGTTAACCCCAATTTTGAAAGAGAGTTTCTGTAATCTTACTGGGTAAAGGGTAGACCAACCCTGATAAGTCCCAGCCAACAATGAAGCAAGTAATTCCAGGAAAGAACTTCTCCTCACCTTGAGAAAACAAAAAACTTACAAGAACCTAAAGACCCGACTATCACAAAACTACGCTCATCAATTAAATTTTTTTAAAAAAAAAGCCTAAAGACAATGGTTTTTGTCGTCCAAGATCCCAGTGAGGCACACTGTGTGCCGTGTCTGGCCTAAGACCCAAGGGAAAGTGTCAGAGCACAGAAGAGCCGGGTCCCCGGGAGGATGAGGCGGTGGGTCACGCACGGTGCCGGAGCCCGAGGTGCTGGCGAGCGCTGCTGCGCGCCGAGGGGAGGGGAATGGACGCGGGTGCGTGACGGGCCGGGCCGCACTCACAAAACGCTGGTAGAAGCGGACCAGTCGCGGCTTCCCATGGTTGTTGAAAACCAGAATCGCCTGAATCATCTTTGCCGGTCCCGCTTCTCTCGGCACCAGCTGCTCCAAGCAAGCTCCTCCTTCCGCCACAACACGGGCACTTCCGGTTGGTGCCCTGCCCAAAACTGCTCCCGGAAACACAGCCCTGTTGCCCTGGGGTCCGAGCACCGAGGGGTCCGGCCGCTCTGGCGCCCTGGAGAGGTCGGCGGGCTCGCCTGGGAACCACGGGTGTGGAAGCCGAGGGGCCAGCCTGATTATCAATCCGAGCCTGCCTAGGACATGAATCCCGTACTGGGCCCTTCACTCTGGTTCCATGACGAAGCCAACCGCGTCGTCAACGCGGATCCAGAACGGCAACTCCAGCCAGCTACTGCGCCAGTTTGAGGGACCCGGAGGGAGCTTGCGTGGCTTCGCCGTCCTAACCTTGGGCCAGCAAAAACTGGATTTTTATTTTTTAGTATTACAATGCTGCAATAAATCAGGGGGGAAAAACTCGTACAGATGGTAAAGTCGAAATCACATGGGATTTTTCATGCAAGCCCATTTAAAAGGTACGGTTGGTCTCGAACTGGGAACACCTTTGTTTCCTTATTTGTATGTTGTTTTTTTTTTTTTTTTTTTTTGAAACAGGATCCCACTGTGTAGCCCTGGCTGGCTTCGAATTCAGATTCTCCTGCCTCTCTCTCTTTCTCTCTCTCTGTCCTAAAAGCTGGAATTAAAAACTTGCACCAGGGGCTGGGAGAGATGGCTCAGCGGTTGAGAGCACTGGCTGCTCTTCCAGCGGTCCTGAGTTCAATTCCCAGTACCCACATGGCGGCTCACGACTGTCTGTAACTCCAGTTCCAGGGCATTTGACTCTCACACCAATGAACATAAAATAATAATAATAAATTAAAAAATAATTAAAAAAAAAACTTGCACCAATGCATACATCCCGGTGGGGTGAAGGGTTGTAAATAATAATTCAAAGGGCCAATTGCCCTGAAGTGTGGCAAAATGATTCAGATGTTGAGTAGGGCAATTGAACTATAACACAATAGTCTGTAGTAAAATAATTTTAAGGATTTGGTTTTAATTGTGTATATGCATGTGTCTTTGTGCTGGTGTGAATGCATTTGTTTAGGTGCCCTCAGAGCTAGAAGGGAGCACTGTGAAGCTGGCATTACACAATTTAGCTGTGAACCACCCGATATGAGTACTGGGAGCAACTCCGGTCCTTTGGGAGAAGTAGTTTTACCCATCTTTGCAGCCCTTGGCATAAACTAATTTTAATATGTGGTGTAGGGAGTATCATAGTTTGGCTGTGGAGCAGCACCAGTCCAAAAACTCTCTCTCACCTCTCCACATTTGCTGCAGCACACTGTCCCTATGCTCACGCAGGAACAATAACATAATAACAAAAAGGTATGGCGATGATAAAGCTAGGGTTGTAGCACAGGTGCTAAAGTGCCTCCACCAAACCCGGAGTTCCATCTCCAGCCCTGTATAAATGCTGGTGTGATGGCACGTGCCTGTAATACTTGGTAGACAGAAACGGGAGGGAGAGGCAGAAGTTGAAAGTCATCAGCCTTCAAAAGGAATAGATACAGATACAGGGGCCAGTGAGATGTCTCAGCAGGTGGAGGCGCTGTTGCCAATTCTGATGACCTGATTTGGAGTCCCAGAACCCACGTGATGGAAGAACAAACTTCAGCAGGTTGTCTGTGTGCGCACACACAGTAAGTAATAAATGTAACCAAAACTATTTTTTAAAGAACTAGATGCAGGCCAGACAGTAGGGGTGCATGCCTTTAATCCCAACACTCAGGTAGCAGAGGCAGATGGATCTTTGTGAAAGAAAGAGAGAAGAAGTAGAAGAAGAAGAAGAAGAAGAAGAGGAAAATTAATTTTACTATAAGTAGAAGAAACGATAAAATATATTTAAGAATATTCACTTTATCAAATATTTGTTCAAAATCTTCACCCCCAGTCTGGCATGAGTAGCATGAAATCAGTTCTCTCCTGCACTGGCCCTGAGGCCGAGTCTAGAACAGCCCTTTGGGGAAGCAACTTGGCAATATAGCAAGAATTTTACAAAAGATGCCTAGATTCCCAGTGACCTGACTCTGGACACCTGCTCCTAAATCATCCAAACGACAGTGAGGAGCCCGCTGTAATGATGAGCACTTTAGTCTCAGCGCTGTGGAAGCAGAAGCAGGCAGATCTCTGTGACTCTGTGATCAGCCTGGTCTAAAGAGCCTCAAAAAAATATGACTGCGCACTGACCATCATTACATAGTAACAATAGGAAGAGTAAAGTCCAATTTTACATGTAGACATATTAAAGAGGCAAGATAATAACAGGGTGAAATTGTGAGTCTTTTCCACTTATTCAAGGTACCTGTGTGAGCCCCCAGGTCCCTACCCAGCTTTGAACCAAGTACCTTTCTATCGTGGGAAGTGGGTTGTAACTCAGTTTCTCTAACTGCTAAACTGTAATCTATTTTGTTGTTGTTTATGTGGAGGGGTAGGTGCTTGTGAGCTGCAACATGAATGAGTGTGGAAATTGGCCAACAGCTGCTGGAGTTGGTCCTCTCTTCCACTATGTAAGTTCTGGGAATCAGACTCAGCTTCAGGCTTGGTGGCAGTCGCTTTTACCCACTGAGCCAGCTTGCTGGCCCTTTTGTGTTGTTCGTTTGCATGTATGGTTTTGGGTTTGGTTTTATTGAAGTATGGCCTCAACCTGTAGCCCAGGCTAACCTCAAACTGTTGGCAACCCTTCTACATTTCTGCCTCCCAAGCAGTGGGATTATAGGCATGAGCCACCATGCCCGTCTTCTCTACAGGAAACCTGGTTTCCTTCCCTAGGAGTGTCTTTCAGCCTAGCCTCAGGCTGGGCTCCTACTAAACAACCATATGCACCCCAACACTTCCGCTCATCAGAGTCTGAACATATTCTTGTCTCCTTCCTCTCTACTGGGGCTTGTTGATTCTGCTTCCTACATACCTCTGGGTACGAGCCCTTTCCTCTCTCTTTGTCTCTGCTGCAGAGCAAACCACGCTGCCCTCTCACCGAGTGATTGCAGCGGATTCCAGCAGAAGCTCACTGCTCCCATTTCTTCTCGAGCAACTGAGCTTCAAAATAGATGAATCAGTCCTCACTTCTCCACAGGACCACTAGCGTCCAGGACACTAAGGATAAAGTCCTCAAAGCTTTAGTGAGCATGAAGTTGCCATGCCCCATGTCTAGCCTTCTCTAAAACACACGTCCCAAGCTATTCTACCCTCTGAACTCCAACTATGTGACCTTTCCTTCCTTAAAGCCCAGGATCAGAGCCCTTTGCCTCAGGACATTAAAAGGCTGGCCTGCTCCAGGGGTTGCCTGGAGCTTTGTGCAATAGGACGTCCCAGTGTCCCCAGATAACCTATTCCTAACCATCCTCAAGGATAAGACCCCATCGTGACCTGTCTGTAAGCTGCCCCAGATACAGGACACCAATGACATGATTCTATATCCTCTTGCCCTTATATCCAAAAACATTTTGTGGCCAAGGAAGCAGGGACAAGGGAAGAGACAAGAACTTTGCCTTTGGAAGCTCTGGACTCCAAGCCTGGATCCTCCCCTTAGAAACTGGGAGAGTTGTCTGACCTCTCTGATCCCCTTTTCCTTCTCGGTAGTTTGCAGGTGGAGGCAAAAGAATCCAGTAATCAAAAATGTGGACTTTGATCCCAGTATTTAGAAGGCAAAGGCAGGCAGATATCATGAGTTCAAGACCAACCTGGTCTGCCTATAGTGAGTTCAAGATCAGCAAAGGACACACAGTGAAACCTTGTCTTAAAAAACAAAACAAAACAAGTGTGTGGGGGAATGTGAACTTTGGGACTGGGGATGTAGCTCAGTTGGCCGAGTGCTCACCTAGTATGCACACGGTCCTGAGTGTGCGCTCTGGCATCACACAAAACAGGCATGGAGATGCGTGTTTATTATCCCAACACTGGGGAAAGGCAGGAGAATCAGAAGGTCAAGACATCCTTAGCTAGATAGCAAGTTCAAGGTCAGCCTGAAAGGTGTGTGGATAGAAGAAGAAGAAGAAGAAGAAGAAGAAGAAGAAGAAGAAGAAGAAGAAGAAGAAGAGGAGGAGGAGGAGCAGGAGGAGGGAGGGAGGGAGAGAGAGAGAGAGAGAAAGAAAAAGAAAAAGAAAAGTAGGCTTTGAAACTGACTGCCTGGGTTTAGATTCCTTTCTCTGGCAATACATACTATTCATAGAGCCTCAAAGCTTCAGTTTATGTACCTAAAAACATGGGGATACTAATCATACGTGCATTATAGGAGCGTTGTGACAGAATACTCCAAGGACTTAACACACCAGGAAGAACTCAGTATTGGCAGCGCCAGTCATGGTCACAGAAAGCATCTGGCATTGCATTTGACACATTAAGGGGACTCAGTAATCCTATCCTCCTTCACCCCTTCTTCCCAGGATCAAGCAGGATACGTACAGCTGCCATGGTGACATAGAATCAAACTCAGGACATGTAGACTTCCACTTCAGATCATGCCCAGATCTGAAAAGAGACACACCTACCCAACGAGGAAATGTTCATCTCCAAAGACCGGAGGCTCTCTGCTAGGAAGGTGGCACAGCTGCAAGATCATTAACACCTCATGAGAACCCAGTAGTGTGGAGGAATTCCTTCCTGAAAATTCACTCATTCATAAAACTCATTCATTAACACTTCACGAGAACCCAGTAGTGTGGAGGAATTTGAGGATTCACTCATTCATAAAAATTCTCCAAGTACAAAACAACAGAAAGAATGCTTCCAAAAACATGTGGTCCATGGCTGTGGCTAAAGGCATGGCAGATAACTTACAGAGCAAGCATGAAGCCCTAGGTTTGATTGCCATTTTAAAAAAATTGAAAATAAATAAAAATTTAAAAGTTGGCCTAGTGGAACGAGTCAAGATCTGTGCACCAGCCAGAAAGGCTGCTGGCCTTCCAGGAGAGCAGCCAAGTGGGTCTGTGCTGGCTGGTTTTATGTCAGTTCGACATGAGCTAGAGTCATCTGAGAGGAGGGAATCTTCAATGAGAAAATGTCTTCATAAAACCTGGTTGTAAGGCCTTTTCTTATTTAGTGG